TGTAATACTGGACCATAAAAGAAGTACGGTCGGTTTTGTGGATGACGTCGGCCCAGGGGGGTTAGGATACGGTGTCACATGGACGCCTAGACCAGAAATCGCGTTACAACTGACATCGTGCGAGAGGGTTGGTGTTACACCTGAAATCGATTTCATATTTCCTCCAAGGGTCGTCTGAAATCGATTTCATATTTCCTTCACGGGCAGACTGAAATCGATTTCATATTTCCTCTAAGGGCAGCCTGAAATCGATTTCATATTTACTTCAAGGGCAACCTGAAATCGATTTTATATTTCCTCTAAGGGCAGCCTGAAATCGATTTCATATTTCCTCCAAAGGGAGCCTGAAATCGATTTCATATTTACTTCAAGGGGAGCCTGACATTGATTTCATATTTCCTGCAAGGGGAGCCTGAAGTCGATTTCATATTTTCTCCAAGGGTAGCCTGAAATCTATCTCATATCCTTGAACTCTTTAGTTATTTAAAAAAAAAAAACGTGCTTTTTTTCCTTTGCTTACTCATAAATACCCTTAGGAAAGGGTATGAATTCATCTCTTCTCTCTCCCCTCAGCTATATGTGAAATAACAGGGCAAACATGTTCCTGTAACCTTCGTTGGCAACCAGTCTACCACGGAAAGAAACGGCTGTCCACTGCAGGAAAATCTTCTGCCTAGTTATTAATGAATCGAAAAAGACATGATCACCCAAGCGCTTATCATGTATAGCACTTAACAGGCTGAACAAACGTAGTTAGTAAATGGAAAAGAAAACTTATAAACGTAAGAATACGAAATACATGGTTGTCAGCAAAAGGAACAGCCCAAGATACAAATTACGAACACCAAAATCACGCAATCACAAAGATTTAAATATTTAAAGGGGTGTTTTAACAGAGGGAGGAAAATGCGACGGAAGATGGTCCACCCCGGTCCAAACAAAGTGAAGTAATCGGGAGAAGATTAAAAGACAAAAAAGAACGGGGTTTCTAACTTAAAATTTATATTAAATCTACTGTCGGGTGATCGACGACTAAACTAGCATCCCCACTTAAATTTATTGCAAGTGAGGTGGGTGTTTAGCTATCATGTAAGATAAAGAATAAGACCTATCAAAGGGCGGATAAAATCTTGACAAACCAATGGCCAGCTAACTAGAGGTGGTGTCTCAATAAAATCACCGTGAAGTAAACGGGAAACCACTTTACTATCAATCCCAAGAAAATTTTGTGCGTCCATATATGTGGGTGAAATGAACATCATTAGCTGTGTTGAAGGCTTTTCATCTAGAAGATAAACTGATGACATAAAACCAAAAGCGTAGATAGAGCTCAAGAGCCCTCTTAATGGTCATCTATCTAGGAGAAGGAAACACTGATATAAAACCAACATTTTTGACCTCATGAGAATGCTTAAAAATATAGCTAAATACTCCTTCGTCTGTCACACGGGGCAGGTTACCAAGGGACGCATCCCTCGATGGCACACCAGGCCGAGGTCGAAAATTCTGCTACTAGTAAGAAAAGGAAAGATCTAGTCAGCCATCTAAACTATTAACTAAAAAATTAAAAATTAAAATGTATTTTAAATGGAAAATAGGACAAATATTACGTCCAATCATAGACAGATGATGGACGTAATATTTATGGTGGACTTCCTTTTAGAGGAATGCAAGAAAGCAAACCTCGATGTTGTTTGTATGTAACTTGGTTATCACGTCATTGTGCATTTGGAATTTAATTTATTTTTATTGCTCACAAATATAAAAGACAACATAGACTTGGAAGTGCAATACGCAAATAACCAGATATTGTAACAGAGAATATCGTACACTAGTCAGAAAGATTGATCACTGCCAACATTATTGTTCATGACTGTAATATCCAAGTGACATCAGCTTATGTCCCAAGTGAAAAAAGAACATAAAACTATTCATTCATGGGGATTTTAATGCTACTTCAAGTATTTTTGAAGATCACTGCTTCCTTGATGGTAAGAAGACGTCACCCTTTGAAACGGGAGCCTCAATCAGCAATGGAGAATTCTTGCTAAACTTTTGTTGCCCCAAAAGATATTCTATCCTTAACACAAGGTTTGACCATCGCGTGAAACACCACATCACCTGGCATAGCTTAGATGATGCAACAAAAATATCATTGACTTCCGGATCTCGAACTCTTAGATAAGGCATTTTGTTTATCTTTTATCCTTTCCCCTATTCTTCCTATACACAGTTTTTCTTTAAACTTCACTCTATGTAACCCACTGCGAACCAGTGGCACTCCCACCTTGCATGAGGTAAAATGTTTGAAAAATTTCCCTGTCCTTTGTAGCTCTTAATAAATTTTGTCCTATTGTTATCTCTCATAAACTTTGCCATCCACCCATTTACTGAAACTCATAAGGTAGGTATTGCGTTGTTTTCCTCTGTCCCTCTTATCGTCAATCTATCTGGTGAGTATTAAATTTTCCAAGCCCTCTTTCCTCATTATGTGTCCTAGAAATTTCAACTGTCTCCTTCTGATGTTATAAGTGTCTTTCTTGTTTCCATTTTCTCTAAAACTTTATCGTTGTTCATATGTTCGGGCAATGATATTCCTAGCAGCCTTCTGTAGAACCACATTTCTGTTTCTTCTGTTTAATTATCATTCACCACCATATCTGAGGCCTGATATTACGTAACAGTTTAATCAGTTCAGTTATGTGCCATGCGTGATACACGCTCTTTCGATACATGACTGACGAGGCAGAATTTTTCCCACAGTAGGTTGTCATTTCTTTTCTGCGGGAGACCAGTTGCCATCCAAGGCTATAGAACCCGGTCTGACCTGTTAATTATCCATAGTTGGGCGGGGAAGAAGAGGACTAGCACTTACGTGAATGTAATTGATTCGACTGGAATTCGAACCTAGCTCTCCGATTCCTCAATCCGAGCCGCTATCTATTACTCCACCGTGGCTACTAATACTAAACTAAATAAAGGGGTTTTGAGGTCATTGGGTATATTCAATTGACATGGGTTTTTTTTTTCACGTATGTGAGTAATTTTCTTTAAAACATTCTTTGGTATTTACTGAGGCTTTCACTGTTTGTTTGTTTTATTTTTATTTTTCTCAGCTTCCCAATTGTATTTAAATGAAATTTCTTGATTATTCTTGAGTTTATCCAAATTTTTTCACCGAAAAGTTTTTATCAAATATATTTTCATGTTTATAAGGTAGCATTAAGTCTTTGAGACTTTTAATAAAAACTGGTTTATTAACCAAGTTACATCGTCATCTTCGAGAAATGGTGGTGGTGGTGGTTTTTAATCATACTGTTTCTTCTGTAAGGTTATGATTTTGTTATTCTCTTCCCCTATCATTTCTATCAGTAGTAGTAGTAGTATTATCAGTAGTAGTAATTAGTACTAGTGATACGCCGTCTTAATCATTTTGCATATCACAGTACTTAAGGTCGATATAATTTTCGACAGCTGGGATAAATAACGAAATCAGTTTTATTAGAAGCTACATCCTTATTTTTGCTTTCGATCTGTATCTACCGGCCGAAGAGTGTATCGGCCAGTTGTGTTGTAATCAAATAAGATTGATCTGGCTTCTCAAGAGATAAATAGATTTTCAATCTAAGAACTTGTTGGATTAATTCAAACTATGATTTTTTTTAAATATTTTTATTATGCAAGTAAAAGCTGCTTTCATTACTGCAAAGATCAGAGCAATTTATTAGTAATAATTATGTTTTAATCAGGAATTTAACATCAAGATCTGCGGACGTCTCAATGAGAAGATATAACTGGGAAATGTTACGTATTAAGACGCGAGGATATTTTTTGCAAGTGAACAGAATTTGTATTTCATTGATTATATGAATCTTTTGACAACACAATCTTCACCAAACGCAAACACGCCATTTGGCTGCACTTAATGAATAGTTAAAAAGTTGCTTCACTCCGGACGCATTATTTTTGATTTCAAGACTACAATGATTTTGAGGTATATTTATAAACCCCAGATACCCCAGTTCGTATTTATCGACGCTGTCAATTCATTTCCAACCCTTGTTCGTCATATATTCACGTTCCAGTCAATATATATCAACTCGTTCATAACCGCCCAAAGTTCGTTCATATCTTTAATCAGTCAGTTAAATGTCATATGTAATACACGCTTGAGCGATCACGTCTCTTTCGGTTCATGACTGACTAGGCAGAAGATTTTCCCGCAATATTTTGCTGTTTCTTTATGCAGTAGAACGGTTGCCAACCAAGGCTATAGGACCGAGTCTGTCCTGCTATTCAACCCATAGATGGGGGAGAAGAGACGGATTCATACTTTCCCAATTATATTTGCGCCTAAGTGAATGTAACGAACCCGACTGAAATTCGAATTTCGTACTTATCTCCAATCACTCATTCATAAATATCCAGTTCGTTTATGCCTTACCCACAACCGATAATATCCATAAGAGAAAGGAATAAAGACAGATAGATCGAAATATATAAGTGACAGAATTAATTTTAACTCGGAACTAATTTCAATTCGATTTAAAAACCCTAACTTTAACCCTTAGTTCCAGGTTGAAATTAATTCCGAGTTGAAATTAGTTCCGAGTTTAAATTAATTCTGCACCCCAAAAATATAAGTAAAAACAGAGAGTAAGCTGACATAATGCCACCTAAAATATTTACTGAAAGAAAAAAAGCTTCATCCGAATAAACTTTACATTGTTTTGTTTCAGTAAATGTTAAATCGATTAATTTTGAGTTGTGAATTTATATCTGAGTAATTATTGTTTTAAATTCAAATAACCGTCATCGATTATAAATGAAATTCTCGCAATAAATGTATATTAGTCATTATATAAATCTTGATAAAGAATACATTAAAAAAATTAATCTTTCACAAAACTCAATGAAAAAATTAAAACAAAAACGAAAAAAGCCGATGTTTGTATCCTATAAAAAAAAAAAAGTTCTAACGAATAAAACAAAGAATTGCTTCAATTTGTTGTCTTCAGAACATTGTCAGCCACCTCGGAGACGACCTTCCAGGCAAAATCGATGTCATGGTTCTGAGTGCGGGTGGTACAAATGGAGAGACGCAGAAAGAAAGTGTCGTCCACTCTAGAAGGGACCATGTGGATTCGCCCATCTTCATTTATGCTCTTGATTAGTTTTTCGTTAATTTCATTACTGCCCTGAAAAAAAAATACAGACATCAACTCTGAGTACATTTTTCACTAAAAATGAACGAAAATGAAAGAATATATTTACTATGTTCAGTGTAGTCAAGAAAAAAAGGTTACAATTGAAATGTACCCAGTCAGTTTCGAACTCTTTACATTAAAAATAGACTGAACTGAAGCACTATATACAGTCTTTTACAAATATTCGTACATCAAATTAAAACTTTGTATGTGTACGGATATTTGTTTCTACTTCACTCTCTCTCTCTCTCTCTCTCTCTCTCTCTCTCTCTCTATCTATCTATATATATATATATATATATATATATATATATATATATATATATATACTCTGCTCTACTATGTGTATTGAGCACTTTACTTTTTTATTTCATATTTTACTCGATTGTTTTTTTTTTCTTTTGGATAAGCATTACGGCATTAGGCGATTTTTTTAGGCGATCGACAAACTATGGCGTTATTTGAAAATTCAAATCCAATTGAAAGTTCCAACAAAGAGCCTGGATCTGAAGACCATATGCAAAGAAGGATGGTGTAAAAATACCAACTAAAATATGAAAATAATTTAATTCAGAACTACAAGTAGAGGTTGGTTGGTGTTTAAGGGAATAATGGCTGCTCTACAAAGTATGAAATGAAGATTATGTATTCTTTTATGTATTGTATGAATACTTTTTTCATACATTAAAATGGATAAATGTCATTTATTTATATTAAATCATTTTTTGTTTTTCTGTTTTCTATGCATATTTAGTTATTATGCATTTGTGTACAATTAATTGTATGAAAAGTATTTATATCCATTAGTTGGAAATACAATAAGTAAAAAATTGTATGTGTGCGAATATTTGTTCCCCCACCCCACCCCCGCCACTATATATAGATATATAGATAGATAAATAGATAGATAGATATATATACTAGCAGGACCCGTGTAAATTACACGAATTTAGTAATCAGTTTTTAGTACTGCATTCCGTAGCTTTAAACCAATGCCCATTCACAAATCAATGTAAAGAAAACTCTCTCTCTCTCTCTCTCTCTCTCTCTCTTTCACACACACATACACACACACACACACACAACTATGTTCCCTCTGTCTATAATAAATTTACGAAGATAAGCTTCGTGACCAAATCAATAAAGCTCCATTCATGGATGTCTGTCGGCCTTCCACGGACAACGCGCTACGAACTTTTTTTTTTGTCAAATTCTGAACCTTTTTTACTTAATGTTTATCAAACATTAAAACTTGATGGCTTCGATAGAAAGAAAACAACGAAATTTACAAGTAGTCAAGATCAATAAAGAGATGATTATAAAAAAAAATGAATAAATATAATTAACATATTCGATCAGCAAAATATATTGATAGATTTACAGTGAGTAAAGATTGTAATTACCGCAGAGGATCAATGATAGACTTTTTTAAATGTTGTATATTTAGATTGTGGATGGAAAGAAAAAAAAAAGAAAAATTTAATTAGAATTTATATCGATATAAAAACTTTTAAAATATGCAAGAAATTAATCTTTACTTATTGAAAGAAAGATATACATGAAGAGATAAAAAATTAGCTGTCATATCATTATTGTCAGTAACTGACCTTCAACCGGAAGCAGACCAGCGCCATGATGACTTCGCCGAAAATTTCGAACCTTGGGTCGTTTCTGATGTACTCTTCGAACTTATGAGCAAGTTTTATATCCTGTAAGAATTTAAATAAGTTAATCACATGAACCAAATCAAAATATTTTTCTTCTTTTTTCAGTAAACTGTTAACTATATTAAATAAGATTTCATATACACTTTTCTCTTACTGCAGTAAGTCAGTTATGTGCCATGCGAGATACACGCTTAGGCGATCATGTATCTTTCGATACATGACTGACAAGGCAGATATTTAGTTGCCATTTCTTTCTGCGATAGACCAGTTGCCATCCAAGGCTATAGAACCTGGTCTGTCCTGCTATTTATCCATAGCTGGAGGGAGAAAAGGATTCATACCTTTCCCAAGCATATTAGCACAAGTGAATGTAATGGATGCGATTGGAATTCGAACTCGGCACTTCGATTCCTCAATCTGAGTTCGAATTCCAGTCGAAATACCGAACCTGTATTGTTTTATTCCCCCCCCCCACCTTGTTCGCCCCCTTTTTAGTTTACGCACAGTTTAGGTTAATCGCCGTTTTTTTAACACTTCCTGTTCAGCCCGTAATCCCCGAAAACGGTACAATAAAGTACATGCTCAAAGCACGCGATATCCTCCGATTTCGGTATACCTTTCTAACCTTTTTCTCTCTGATTTATTTTATTATTTGAACATTTACCTTTCTATAGATTTATTTTACTAGTGTATCATTCCATGTAGAATCCCTTTCACCACATGTTGATTGTTTACACACTATTCTCAAACTTTAACTTCAAATAATTTTCTTCCTTTCTGAGAACTTATCGCTGCAAACTTCATAGTTTATACATATTCACGTAAGCAAAGTATTTGCTACGCTCCTTTACCCATTTAGATCCTTCGGCTGTTTTTGTAATACAGTGGAACCTCAGTTCTCGAACGTCTCACATGTCGAACAAATCGGTTTTCGAACAGAAAATTCGAGATGAAAATGCCTCGGTTATCGAACAAAATTTCGGTTCTCGAACAACATAGCCGAACTGAGTTGACACGAACGGAATAATTTCCGGGTCGACCGCCGGGTTGTATACATTCGTGCGTTGTGCTGTGCTTTTCTTTTCCAATTTCATTGCCCTGCGACTTTTTTCTCTACATTTATTCCTATTGGAAAAAATAGTTTCGGTTTACGAACATTTCGGTTTACGAACACTTCGGTTTACGAACATTTCGGTTTACGAACATTTCGGTTTACGAACATTTCGGTTTACGAACATTTCGGTTTACGAACATTTCGGTTTACGAACACTTCGGCTTACGAACATTTCGGTTTACGAACACTTCGGCTTACGAACATTTCGGTTTACGAACATTTCGGTTTACGAACTGCCTTCAGGAACGAATTAAATTCGTGAGCCGAGGTTCCACTGTATTCCTTTCATTTTTTTACCTATTTATTTGTTCAGACTAAATTAGTCTCAAGTTTGTATTTGTTTCTTTTTCTGTTTTCAATCTTTTGACTTTCAGTAAACCTGCTGGTGAACAGAACTTTGTCTTCAGAGTTTTGATTGTCGTAAAATGTTTATCAAGCTGCAAGACGTACGCACACGTACACGGGAGGCAGAACATACACTCTATTTATATATCTATCTATCATTATCAATAGACAAGACAAAACTATTTTTTGGAATATTTTATTATTTTTTTTTTTAATCCTTTATGGAAAACTGTATGACAAAGTGAAGGAAGCTTTTTCGTGACGTGTTTCGTCCTTTAGGTCTTCATCGGACTAAATTTATGTTGGTGCGACTACACATGCGCACGAACAAGGGATACTGGGAATTTATTTTTTTTTATCTAGCTGATTTCATTTAGATTATTTTTCTTTTTTCCTTCCATTACTTTTCTTAGTGGATATCCCACAGTGAGATAATAGAAGTTCTGGCAGGAATGGTGAAATGTTATAAGAGTCACGGCGCAAATTTGCTGTAGACGACCTTGCGATGATGGCACTCTCGACATTTTCATCGTGGTGAATAGCTTTATTCTTTGATCAGATTAGCATTTTTTATGCCAAAATTGTAGTCAGTCTCATTTGATATGTTGTTTTGTAAAATATCCCTTTTGTGTTCATATAATCTTTTATTTAGATTCCTTGAAGTTTCTCCTGTGTACTTTTTGTGACAATTATTACAGGCAGTCGAGTGAAATCCTCCTTCAAGTTTTATCATATTGTTTTGTTTAGTATTGACTAAGTCATTTATTGTTTTAGATGTTGTAGTAACACATTTTATGTTGAGTTTAGATAGATCCCTTCCAATTGTAGATGTGATAAATTTAGTTGGTAGAACAAATATATTTTTTGATTCATTGGGTTTTTCAGCAGTGGCCTTTTTTTCTATTCTGGGGTCTTTTATGGGCCTTTTATTTCGCATTTTGGTACTTATGAAGCTTGAAAGTGTTTCCAATGTATTTCTCCTCTTCGTGTAAATATTAAGGGCTGCCAATTCTGAATGCTCTTAAGTAGAATCGGATGATTTTGTCTGTTGATTTCCGATGGACATCAAATTTTAAACAGTTAACGTGGTGTAGCTTCATATCTAGCAAAGGTAAAGAATTATATTCTTCCATTTCGTATGTAAATTCTGCTGTGTGTTCGACTTTGTTTAGTTTATCTACTAGGTCAGGTAAATCAGTATTACGAGGATATATTCGTAGAGCATCATTAATATATCGAAAGTCATAAAGGACGAAACGTGACACAAGAAAATCTTTTCCACTTTGTCGTGGATTTTTCCCCAATATAGTTCATGATATATAAAAATATATATCGTTATCTCATTTAATTCTTTCTAGCAGGTTCGAAATTTTGGTTAAAAGTCTTATTTTTCTTGCGCCAGCGGGTGGACCAATGATTAGTATCGGAAATTTAGCGTCTTTTTGCGGTAAAACACATTGTTTTGCAAAAATTAAATAATTGGCAGATGTTAATGAAATTTTCAGGACTTAAAAATTAATATAATTATTTTTTTAAATTTTAGAAAATCTTGGTAAAAATATATTTTTTTTTTTGCATCTGTTACTCCGAGCTAATTAATTTTATGAAATTTTGAGAAATTAATGTACCAATGTCTTCATTATTTACATTATTCGAACTATTGCCCTCATCTTTGACGCCATATATATCACAACCGAGCGACAAAGATGAGGACAATAGTCCGAATAATGTAAATAATGTACATAATACCTCATCTCAAAAATATAGACAGACCAATGTCTTCGTATTTATATTAGTTAAAAACATGACTACTTGAAGAATTTAAATCATCAATTTGTTTTTGTCAAACAGAAACACCATTTACTGAAAATCTGCTCCGAATCGTAAAATAAAAAATGCAATAAAATTATGATATTATTTAATTAGAAAAGCTTTTAATTGCTTTTATAAGAAATATTATGGGCACTATTGTCTTAAGAAATTTTTTTCTATGAATAATGAATTTTTGCAATATTTTTTTTCATTTTTTTAATTTTAATTATTAAGTTTTAACTATTTTAAAATTCTGTATTAATTTCGGCGGTTTTAATGATATTATTATGAAATGAAAACTATATTTACTAATCATAAATGGGAAATCTCAGTACAAATCATCAAACACCAATAATTTTTAAAAGAATTTTGAATTTTTTTTAATAATGTATAAACGTGCCGTTTTTTGTAAGTACGGTTGACCATACACAAAATTATTAGAAAATAAGAGCCATAACTATAGTAAATTTAAAAGCCGAAATTTCTAAAATTCAAAAAAAAAATAGATAACGGAGAATATATTCCTAATTTTTTTAAGATTACTGAGTACTAAAAAATTTAAAAAAGGCGCCCACGTCATTTTTATGCTTTACTGTCAAAGTTTCCGTAGAACAACATTGGATCTGTCATTAGGTTGTCAGACACGTCAAGATAGCTATTTTCGTGATAAAAAAGCATTCTGCGATATTTCAAACTTAAAGCAAATAATATTTGTTTCGAATCAAATTAATTATGCTTTCCATGAGCTAATATTCCTCAAATAAAGTTTTTTTAAAAGTATGTTTTATTTTCGGAAGATTTTTTTAATAAAGTAAAAGACATTGCGATGTAAGACGAATAAAAATGGGCGCTAATCTTCTATTTTAATCTGCTATTTTAATCTGCTATTTTAGCAACAAAAAAAGAAACTATTTCCAGTCAATTTAAATTATTTTTGAAATACGGTAAAATATTTTGCTTAATTTAAATATTTTAATCTATTAGCTTAAATTAAAACTAAAATAAAACCTTCAAATAAGATTTTTCATTTTTTAAATTAATTTTAATCCTTAGCTTTCGCGTTTTTTGTGGAGGTCCTGATAGATAGATAGATAGATAGATAGATAGATAGATAGATAGATAGATAGATATCAGGTCATCCCATAAGTTCTGTCCGAATTTTGAATAAAGAAAACAAGTGACCAAATGTTGCATTTAATTACAGATTCAATCAAAAATGTATTTTCAATGATTATCTATGACTTCCTTCCATCTATTAACAAGCTTACTAATTCCATTACTGTAAAATTCTTTTGGCTTTGATTCGAAGAACTCACAAATGTCAGTTTTAATCTCTTCCCGTGTTACAAAAGCTGTTTCTTCCAAATGATTCTGTAAGCTACGAAACAAATGGTAGTCTGAAGGAGCAAGATCGGGAGAATAATTGGATGAGGAATTTTCTCCCAACCAAGTTCTTCGATCTTTTGTGACGTGATTTTTGCTGCGTGGGGTTGCGCATTGTTCTGATGAAATTTTCACCCCTTTTCGATTCACTAGAGTAGGTCTTTTTTCCTCAAAGCTTGGTTCAAACTCTCTAATTGCTGACAGTATATTTGAGCATTAATTGTTGCATGAGGTGGTAAGAATTCAAAGTGGATTATTCCTTGGCGATCCCACCAGATTGAAAGAAGAACCTTTTGCCCATGAAGTTCCCTTCTCGGCTGTGGCTGGGATCCTTCCCCTTTACCAAGCCACTGTCTATGACGCTTAACATTTCGATAAAAGATCAATTTTTCGTCGCCAGTCACAAGTCTATCCAAAAAAGGTGAAACAAGTTGGCGAGAATGGAGAGAAGAGCAGATGTCAACTCGGGATTTGAGGTTGTTTTCAGACAATTCATGAGGCACCCATTTTCCAAGTTTAGGAACTTTTCCAAGTTGTTGAAGATGACGATGAACAGTTGTATGAGAACCACTGCCAATTCCAACTGATAAAGCAAGATTTTCTTCAAGGGCTGTTTCAAGAAGTTTTTCATCAAACTCAACTGAACGTCCGGTTCGATCTTCATCTTCAAGGGTGAAATCTCCACCTCTGAATTTTGCAAACCATCTTCTGCAAGTTCTTTCATTCACACATTCCTCTCCATAAACTGAGTGAATGTTTCTAGCCGCTTCGGCTGCTGAGTTTCCTTTCTTGAACTCATAAAGCATTATGTGCCTCAAATGATTCTTGGATACTTCCCATGTTAGCAGGGTTTTAATCAAACAAAATTTAATTTTATTGTTCTCTGAAATAAAATTTGATCAGTTTAAATGCATCTAAACATAAAAATAATGTTCAGCTCCATTAGACATTATAAAATACTCTTTAAATTTCGTTCATTTTAACAAAAAGTTAAAATTCGGACAGAACTTATGGGATGACCTAATAGATAGATAGATATTGTTTTTCGTATATAGATATATAAAAATTTGCTTAACCCTAATGTGGTAAAGGTACACAAAATGCCACCAAATTAAACTTACGATAGTAACAATGTAAGTAGATATTTACTAAGCATAGCTTTGACTTGGCACATTGACATAAATATGGGTCACCCAACCATTACACCACAACGTGACACCTATGGCCTGTGAGGATAGCCAGTTCTCGATTTCTGTTCAGTAATTAACCTATATAGATTAATATCTATAAGGTGCACGTAAACTAGCACAAAATTGCATTAAAGAGGTCCCAGTGATGATCGAATTCGCCAAAACAATACAGCGAAGTAATTTAAGTTAAGAAGGCCACTAGTAAGAAGAAACCAAGTAAAGATCAAGTTCACTTCAGTAGCGATACGAACTTGCGGGCCATCTGGCTATGATTACCGGTCATCATAGCGGGGAAAACAGTTTTATTTTTCGTGAGTTAATGAAAGTTTGTTGTCTATGGAAAGCCAAAAATGTTATTTACCTGTCGTATGATATTCTGAAGTTTTTTGATACCAAATAATCTCAACACAAACCAAAGTTTCAAAGACCGGAATCGCCGTCCGAAGGGAATTTGCCAATGCTATAAAAATCACGAGAAAAATAAAAGCAAGAATTAATGCAATAGCCACTGACAAAATAATGTAATTTTATGCATAATGCAATGATTTTGCAATAGAAATGCATTGTAAATTAGATGAAACGGGATTGTCAGCAACCAAAGATTAATGAGTGCCTTATTGAGAGAATTATTATTATTATTATTATTATTATTATTATTATTATTTTCTTTGATTTCTGGCGTTTACACATTTCTTTCCGGGTCCCGCCCAGGGACCTAAGGTTAGAAATGGCGTCATGACACTTTCCACTGACAAAAAAAAAAAAAAAAAAAAAAAAGATTACATAGATAAAGCCCTTCGTAAGGTGTGGGCTGTACTTGTCAGAACAATTTTCTGTATCTCCTTGAGGCATGGACTTCCAGGTATCCCTTCAATTAGTCTACTGGAATCTTTTCCAACCAGTCCTAGGGCTCCAACTACAACAGGGATTGTTGATGTTCCCATATGCCACATTTTCGCGATTTCTATTTCAAGGTCCTTGTATTTTGACAACTTTTTGAATATCTTCAAAGATATATTGCAGTCGGCAGGGACTGCCATATCAATAAGGAGGCACCGTTTTTGTTTATGGTCTTTAATAACAATATCTGGGCGGTTGGCCTTGATTGTTCTGTCAGTGTGTATTGTGTAGTCCCATAGAATTGTAACAGGTCCTATCTCCGTAACCGGGTCTGGGTGGTGTTCATACCAGTTTCTTTCAGTTTTCTTCCCGTAGAAGTTGCAGATTTTCCAGTGCAGATATTGGCCCACTCTGTCATGTCGGGTTTTATATTCAGTGGGTGCCAACACCGTACAACCTGCTACAAGATGATCAATCGTTTCTGGATATTTATCACAGAATCTGCATTTTGGACTGACACAATATTTTAGTATATGTGCTTGATAATTCCTAGTTAGCAAGCATTGGTCCTGCGCAGCAAGGATAAAACCTTCAGTTTCCGCTTTCAACCCCTGCACTACGTAGCCACTGATGGGTACGGGTTTTGTCCACGTCAGCTTGTTTGGTACGGGCAGAGTATTGGCCATGAAGCGGTTTATCTTGCCATCGCTTCTGTAACTGGTCTGTTGCATTCGTCTTAGCTATCTTTTTAGGTATTTTTGCAGTTTCAGCCGGTGTATTGTGCTGTAGTTGCATCTCTACGCCCATTTGGAACTCCATTTTGAATTTGTTGGCTTCCTTCATTACGGAGTAGAGACGCTTACTACTTTCATGTTCCTTGACGCACATCATCATCCAGTCTTCTGTAGTTTCCAAATATCTTTGGAGGCCAATTGTTGTAGTTTTGTAGGACAGTTCTAGTTGAACTAATCCTCTGCCTCCTTCGGATCTGGGCACATACAGACGGTCGACATCAGCTTTGGGATGATGCATGCGATAGCAAGTGAGTAGCTTTCTCGTTTTGGCATCCAGTCGCTTAATTTCAGTTATGGTCCAGTTAAGGACATTAAAGCTGTATTGCTCCACAGGGACAGCCAATGTGTTTATGGCTGATATCCTGTTTTTTGAGTTCAGCTCAGTATTTAGTACCAGACGTACACGCCTGTAGTATTCTTTTCTTATTTTTTCCTTCATTTGTGGGTGTTGTATGCCATCTCCTTCGCTAATTCCTAGGTACTTATAAGCTTCACCATGCTCCAGTTCCCTAATCTTTGTGACAAAATCTAAATCTATTAAGGGTGTTTCTGTAATTCTACCTTTCTTGAAAGTTACTTTTGCACATTTATCTAATACGAAGTCCATACCTATGTCGTCACTGAAGTATTTTACAATATTGAGGAGGCCTTTCAACTCATTGTCGTCTTTGGCAAAGAGTTTGAGATCATCCATGTAGAGTAGGTGATTGAATATTTTCTTATTTATTTTGTAACCATAGCTACTGTTGTTCAGTTCATGTGTTATTATTATTATTATTATTATTATTCTAACCATTTACACACGCTCGTTAAGTATGTCATGTGCGGCTCCTCTTTCATTCAGTATATCCTATGGGTGTCAAGCTCTCTAAACCATATTTCCTCATTAAGTGCCCTACAGATTTCAGCTATTTCTTTCTGATTCTAAGTATAAGTGTCCCTATCGTTTCCATTTTCTTTAAAACTTCATCGTTGTTCACATGTTCTGCCCATGGTATTATCAGCTTCCTTCTGTAGAACTACATTTCTGTTGTCTCAAGACTTTTCTTGATCTGTGATCCAGCATTCACTGTCATATAGGTGGACCGATATTTCAGTACAGTTCAGTACTCATTTCTTCGTTTCTAACGAAATTTTCCTGTTCTTTATCCTTTGATTAGCTTTTGGAAGGCATTTTTCGCTAACCCAATGCACCTTCTGTTTTTGATATCCTTCTGTGCTCTTTTAAAACACTTCACAGATATTTAAATGGTTGTACTTAGGATTTCTTGTCATTTCCTTCCCACTTCTGCAATCTACACTGTGTCGTCTTCATATATAATGTTAAGATTGTGACCGCCAAAAATGAATCCTGTTCAGACAGTTATGTGCCATGCGTAATACACGCTTAGGCGATCATGTATCTTTCGATACATGAATGACGAGGCAGATTTTTTTTTCCCGCAGTAGGTTGTTACTTCTTTCTGTCGTAGACCAGTTGCCATCCAAATCTATAGAACGCGGTCTGTCCTGCTACTTACCCATAGATGCGAAGAGAAGAAGATTTATACCTTTCCCAAGGGTCAGTCGTGCCATGCGCGATACACGCTTAGGCGATTATGTATCTTTCGATACGTGACTGACGGGGCAGATTTTTTCCAGCAGTAGGTTGCCATTTCTTTCTGCGTTAGACCAGTTACCATCCAAGTAGAACCCGGTCTGTTCTGCTATTTATCCATAGCTCGGGAGAGAAGAGGATTCATGCCTTTCTCAAGGGTATTAGCATGGAATGTAATGGATTCGACTTGAATTCGAACACGGCTTTCCGATTCCTCAATCCGAGCCGCTATCTATTACCCCACTGTACCTCCCTCTTCCTGTAAGGAATTCTAATTCTCTCAGAATCTATTCTTGGTAAAGTTTGGATAACTCATGTGCGAAAACACATTCTTGTCTAATACCCTTTTCTATTTTTGTATATTTACGGAATTCATTTTCTATCCACAGGCAGGAGGTTTGCTCCCACCTTATGTTCTGGATTATTCTAATATCCTTCACAAATATATAAAGCTTTTCCTGGCAGTTCTTTGTGACATACCTTGTCAAACGCTTCTGTATGATCAATACATCATAGGTATATATCCTTTTGCAAGGACTATTATATGCATAACGTAAATGCAGATATGCACGCACAGACTTACTGATTGTGGCTCATAGCCACGCAGTGACGCATATGGGACCATCCAACGATACTCAGAGAAAGAGAGATAAGCTTTTTGACTTACTCTGTAATCAGGCATGATATCTTCATTGTCGTGTTTCAAGTAGACAGGTTCAAGTTTGAACGACTGGATGATATCATTGCTGTTCTTCATCCTAAGAAAAGTAATAAATAAAACAGTTGGCACATTGCAAGTCTGGATAGATTGATTAATTGATTTGTATTTTTTCGGGTTTATCAACCATTTGCAGGTTATTAAAAGACAGAAATATTTTTAGATTATAAGAATGTTATGGAGATAATAATGATTTTTAATGATACAATCTCTACTAATTAACCTATAGTTGGGGAGAAAAGAAGTGGATTCATACCTTTCTCAAGGGTATTGGCGTGTAAGTGAATATAACGAACCTGACTGGAATTCAAACTCAGCTCTCCAATTTCCAATTCCGAACCGTTTTCCATTACACCACCCACACATCCAAGCTATTTAGCCCATTTAGGTACTGCCCAGGTTCGACGTTGCTTAACTTCAGTGATCGTATGAGAACCGCTGTTTCAACGTGATAGTACCGTAAGCCTTTTAAGTCTGGAAGCGTCTCACCAAAATATTTTAACCAAACGTGGAAAACAAAAACAGATTGGGAGTTGATAGTTGTTGCTATGACAGATATTAATTAATCAATTAGTCTTTCCTTAATTGTTTTAACTTAATCCGCAATTGTTATTAGTTGGGGGGGCGGTTATCAAGTCCCACTAAAACCAATAGTTCTTATATGATCACCAGAATTAAACAACATCGTACCTCGTTAGTACTTCTACTTTGGAAAACCAACCGCTGGAGGCGGCTTTTCACTTTGTCCCATGCAATATTTAGTCAGTAAAAAAGACTCTGACGATTGTCTTACAGCCAAGCTACACTGAAAATACTAGTTTTTGCATGGTGAACGAAATTAAACAAATCTTAGTAAGTAATGATAAAAACTTACCACATGGCTGAACAATCAAATGCCACCTGCAGCCATTTGTGTGGATTGAAGTTAAAGGAATCGGCGTGCTACAAAAAACAACAAAATATTTCCAAATAAAACAAAAGCTTATCGTCTGGTTACTTTTACTTCGTTTAAAATGATGAGATAAAGAAATTTATAAGAAAGGGAAAATAAATATTTTTAGGCGCCGAGCAAATATAAACTGAAGTGACTTACTTCCACGCCATCTAAGAGTGGTCGATATTCTGGACATATGAAGGAACTGCCTGCATAGGCAGCATCAATATGCATCCAAATATCTTCTTGTTCACCTGAAATTAAACAGTAATTTCATAGAAGTAGCAGAACAAATGGAAATTGTCAGAAAACAATAATATTCTAAGTTTATCAGTCTACATGGAATTATATCCCTATTTCTCTCTCTCCGTGGTATTATATCACTTGTCCTTCACTGTGGCATTACCTCAGTACACATTCAACCCTCTCTATGACACTACCCCCCCCCATTGTACGCATCTATCCCTCACCATAGAATTACTTCTGCATTCTACTCACTGATCCTTCTCCGTGAAATTACCTCCCCGTTTTACGCTCTGACACTTGAGGCAAAAATCAGTGAGATCAGACCACTTTCGTCATTATCCTCAAATGCGGAGAGTTTAATGATTTTACGAGCATGACATTATAGGAGCATGACATTATCGAATTCCGTTTTAGTCTGTTGCGTTCACTTTCGCAATACTGTCCTTGGATAAGACACGGATTTATACCTTCTCCTCTTAGCTATGGGCTAAATAGCAGTTTAGCCTCGTTCAGCAAGCTATCCAAGATAAAAGAAATTCTGAATTCAAAATCATCATCGAAAACCACTCCACTATTACTCCCAAAGAATTATGGCAATTCACAAAGGACAAAGAAAATGAATCTGTAGAGAGACGTAGTTGTCTACCTCTTGCCAGGACGTAGCATTTAGAAAGAAACCACAAAAAAAAGAATGTCGGGTTCAACATTAAACAATCTTCATATTTGATGATGGTGGGAGGGAAATAAATCCTATACTGAATTAAACAGTGTTTTAAATAAATTCTTACGAAATAATTTCAAAACTAATTACACTTGTGATAACATTATATCGTTATTGTTGCAAGAATCTTATTGAATTAAGTGCATAAAACATGGTATAATTTGTTCACTTTCACATGACAAGTAAACACTTTTGGCCTAACAACGGATTTTTATTTTTCAAAAAAATAATGATAACTATAAAAGTTGAAGTGAAGATAAAATTTTCTAGACGGTTTGAAAAAAATGAAGCATATCTGCAGGTTAGGATTTTATTTCGAGAGAATATTTAGAAGGAATATTTTTACTTTTATTAAATTCATAGTTTTAAATTCTTTTTGCAAATTTCATCGCCTTTGATATCTTCAGTTTAATAATTTTAAAAATTAGAAAAAAAAGTGAACGAAAGACATCAATATATAGTTAAATTTAAGACTGTATTTTTTTTTTCATTTTAATATTTTGAAAATTTGACACCGACTAATATCTCTCATTGCCCTGAGAGATGGTATGAAAGGAAAGTACAAGGCATGATACGCCGGTAATCTAATGGATTTCGGAAAATGTTCATGAGGAAGCAAATCCGTAAAAACAAAGAATACTCACAGACAATTCCAATTTCTTTACAGTTGTCAAACGCACAGGAAGAAGTTGTTCCCAAAGTGGCACATACCTAAGAAAGAAAATCATTAACATCTTAGTAAATGAGGAACATCACAGTCTAGTGTACCTATCTCTATTGATAGATGGAACCACCATAGTCTCATTTCTTTAAGTACATTGGCACCCCCCTCCTAATTGAAATGACTCGCCACCGAAGTTAAGCCTCGTTGAGCCTGGTTAGTACCTATATGGGTGACCATTCGGGAATACAATGTGCTGTAAGCTTGGATGTGCAGGTGTAATGATTAACGGCTCGGAAATGGAAATCGGAGAGCTGATTTCCAATTCCAGTCGGGTTTGTTATATTCACTTACATACAAATATCATTAAGAAACATATAAATCCACCTCCTTTCTCCCAGCTATGGTTTAAATACTAGGACTTGAACCAGAAAATCATTATGCTCCCTTACAAAATTCTTAAAATCCTAAAATATGCTTCGGCTTTAAATAACCTTAAAAATGTTGATAAGCCGTAAAAAAAAAAAAAGAATCAGTTCAAACGATTCATCAAGAGAAAAAAAACAACTCTTTCATTTCCTGGTCATAAAAATTGCAAAGTGCATCGTAGCAATGCCAACTTCTGCTGATAGAAACACCAGAGCTTGTTTAAAGTGAAAAAGGTGAATATCCTCGAATTATTAAGAAAAAAAAATCCAATGTTGACTCTGATTAAGAAGTTTTATTACAGTATAATTATTCTTTTTTTTAATATAGGTTATTTCTGATAATCACTTACTGTGCCTAATTTATATAATAATCACTGATCTGTATGTATAGGAAGAAAATTAGACTATATATAGGGTTCAGTACTAAGGATCATTTCAAAGGATGGAATTTTTTAATAATAACCAGAGATAAAATCACGTCAGTCATCCAAGGCAAGAAATATCCCGTTAGATATCTCGTTAGCCTCTCTATGACAAAAAAAAATGTCCCTGGATTTGTGAAGGTGCATATTTTTTAATGTGGGCAATTTGTACAAGCGTAATTCCTGCACATAATGGCTAAAGAACAAATGCTTACAAAAAATGGCGTCAATCCTTTCGCCCTGTCTTCGTCGATGGCCTTCTTTAGAGTATCGCCACGTAACGCTTGCTTTTCATCAGTGTCTAGGATTCGATACTTGACCAACGCAATCTTATATGCCCGTTCCACTGAAGAATGAGACTGAAAAAGAGACAAACATTTTATTTCACAGTTATTTCCTTTACGTGCATTTTTTTCAGAGTTTTTAAATCAATGTAGATGATTTTTTACTAATATTTCTTTGATATTAGGTTGAACTGCTTCTAACGTAATTTCTCAGGTCACCACTCTACAGTCATTAATAGGTTCTGTAGTTTAGCATGATTCAGGTGACATTCGGACTCGTATCCCTTTTTTTCTCGGGAAGCCTGTCAGCGTAAGAGCTGCTTTACTGTTTCGACTCCGAAGTTTTACTGGCCTCAGAAGTTTTAATTTAACCATAAGGCTTTTATTCTTTATTATCCCTAACCCTAGCACTATGACCTCATAAGTTTTAATTTAACCATAAAGTTTTTATTCTTTTATTATCCCTAAATCAAACAGTAATTCTGAAAGGCGATATTGCCATCTTTAATCTTTGTTTATATACACTAGTACTATTGGGATGTTAAATTTATTAGTAAATGACGCATTGTCAGTTAGTATTAACTACGTATATGGGTGGAAATTCCACGTTTGCTGGCATCTAAGATATCAAAATTGCTCTTGAATATTTATTGCATCTACAAAGGAACATTCTTATTTTTTGCAACTGTAAAAGAACACCCTTTCTCTGGTCTCCTCATCCTAGTGCAAGTCACCAGTCGGCCTTCCCCACCTACACTTTGTATTTACTTTTTGATCTGAAGAAGGATAACGTGGAGCTAGTTGAAACGTATTCAGGACTGAAGTGGGTGTGTTACAAGAAGAATAAAAAAGCAGGCTGCTTTCAGAATAGACAACCAGCTGTTGCTTATAGAAACAATTACATAGTTTGTTTTTTGGGGGTTTTGGTTTTTTTTTGAGGGTCACAGGGATCAGTTTAACTCTTCCTAGTTCTATGTTGCTATGGTCTAACTAATGCCACTTTGTCAATTAATATGTTTCAGTCTTCACAACGTATCGAAAAACATGATCAGACTGATGACTGGTAGTCGGTTCATCAATTCTGTCAGGAACTTTTGGTCTAAAAAAGAAAAAAAATTAAGTAAAAGAATAAGTTAAGTCGTCTGAACAGGAGATGAGACTGCTTCAGTCATTTTTAAAGATCATTTCACCCCAAGTAAGATGATAATACCACTAGGACTCAGGTACTTACAAGGAGTAAAAGACAATATGAAAACTTTAGTGAGTAAATTTGAGGAATTGATAATGAAAGAACAGCATTCAGAAAGACAGAAAATAGCGATTGACGTTACATTTAAACTTTTGAAAATTGTAAGTGGCAGGAAAGTAAGAAATCGGAAAGAAGTTCCACAGGGGAGAAGTGCGAGAAAAGAACATAAGGTTGTATCTAGCTAGTTCAACAATGAAATGGTGTGACCAAGTTGCTCATCTAGTATCACGCTGAAATTCCTGTAGTTGAGGCACTAGGGGAAAAGCTTATCAGAACAGTTGCCATGAAAATATTTTTAGAAAGGTCATAGGGAAGCCACTACACGTCGGTGGGAAAGTGACTGAAGTCGTTATACCTGGTCAGGATCAATTACAGACCCTTCTTTAAATTTGATTAAGAATCTCCAGATATCCAGCAGGAGCACTAGACCAGATATGGCAGCAATATTTAGTGCATGGACGAATGATAGATTTATAAATGTGCAAGATGCATTCTGTCGAGAAAAATATTCTGGCACAACACAGCAAACTAACTTTCCTTGTAGAGGATGAACAGGATATAAAATCCTACTTTTTACAGCCAATAAGTGAAGCAAAAACAAGTGAAACACGCCTACAAATAAATCTTACTAAATTCAGTAAATACGAAAAACTTTTTGACAATTCTGTATAAACACGACTCCAAATTAAATAAGTGCTTTCTGGAACCTGATTGGATAGAACAATTCACGTGATGTTTTTTTCTACGACGTCTGCGCAGTTGAACTCCAAATGACCTGTAAATAGGTCGTAGCATTGGTATATTCCCGTACAAAACGATTCGGAGCCGACTCATAGTGATAAAAACGGCTCATCAGAAACAGTCAGAACCGGATCTGCAACGACACAGTAAAGTACAGTCGGCGAAATACAGTCAGCGAATCAGATTTGCCTTGATCAACAGCTTACACACACGTTACCTTGATTTTTCTACATACAAAGCCACGTCGAAAGTAAGTCTTTTTATTTACTATGTTTTAAAATTACTGCTATCACACACACACACACACACACACACACACACACACATATATATATATATATGATTTTTTCTTTTCAACACCATCACTTGATAAGACACAGAGTGTGTTGAAACAAAATGGCTATTTTTGTAGTGATTTTATAACATACTTATGTTATAAATTTTTTATAAAATAATTATATATATATATATATATATATATATATATATTGGCGTACCATGCCACTTGTGCTGTATTTGTGGACACGACACTCGGATTTTATTTTTCCTTCTAAAATCGAGGTACATTGAGCCCACAGACATAGCAATTGATTCAATACAGTAGCTCTATTTCATGCCAGTGGAAAACGTGAGTCCAAGATGGCATAGAGTGTTTCTCGTTGTTTGTTTTATTAATTGATGCTTACCTGTAATTGTTATCTACCAAAAATGAGACTGGTTCTTTTCTTCTTACTTTTATCAATTAATCTCTATTTTTTACCTGTCTTGAAGTATATGCAATCAGTTTAGTGAGTGCCACGCCATTTTCCATGCTGGGACTTTTCTCTTTGGCTCTATTTATAAACTTGGTTCTAGCTGACAGAACAGCAACAAGAGTTGCTTCGCTGGCAGTCCCCTGGAAGAATAGAAAAGATTTAGACATTCTTTGGTTATATGTTTACATTGCGTTGGAACAGGGGAATAAAATCGGGATATTTTTATCATTGTACTAGCAGGGCTACCCGGCGTTGCTAATGTATTATATCAAAATAACTCCAGTCATGTATAAATTCATGATGAAAAATATTCATTTCAATTTAAGATTTGTCGCTAAATAAATATATTGTTCGTGTATAATTTCAAACATTATTAATCAGGGCTGCCAGTAAGATTTTAATGTTTCCAAAAGAAAATCTCGTAATCAGTAAATTGATATTCTGATGAAACTTTAGTTCTTAGTCGAAAATATGCCTATATTATGAATCCTAGTCAAAACAAAAATTTCGAATAGGAAAAAAGACCAGTTATTAAAATTTTTATTCAAGGTAATTAACGTATGTGACAGCATATAAGGCACACTTTTTTTACTGAAAATATCTTTTAAAATTCTTCTGCGTCTTATATACCATATATGATTTTAAAATTTACGATAGTCGGCCGAAATTAGATGACGCATTATTTAACGACGATGATAGTAGTATTAAAAATGAGTATCAGAGTTTGATAACGAAGACGACGAATTTTATTGATTTGAAGATGAATACAATTTTAATAGTAACTGTACTGTTTTACTCAATTGTAATAATTGCTTGATTTTTATTTTGTTTTCTTACCTTTGGATATTATAGTTTTTATAGGCCCGTGTTCTATTATTTTTCGTTTAATTGTAATCATGGCTTGTTTAACCAAAATAATACCCCAGCCTAGGCTGTACCATTTACTAATAATTTTAATAATCACTATTTTTTTCTTGATTTGCCCTGCTGAAATTGGTGTGTTTCTTATACAACTGTGGGGATCACTTACATGTGCCACACCTCCATTTCCTTCAATATCATTGGTTCGTAAATATATGATACTTATCATATGACAATTTTGCCATCGCAGGTAATTTGAAATTTTCTCTAAAATCACGGATTGGTCCATTTGCTGACCAATCGCGTATTTTAGTATCTTTCTATATTTTTAGCGCCAAGCTCGCTGGAGCTTACCCATCGTTATATAAAGACTCTCGCTGTTTGCTAACAATCAGTAGCAGTTCAATTCTTACCTCGGCCAGGTATTCTGCCTATGCTGACGACGTTTCGGCTCTTGTGTCGAGCAGAGCCGAGATTGACGAAGTCAGCAAAGAAATAAGTGGGTATGAGATGGTAACAGGGGCCAGGATCAACCGCGATAAGTCTGTGGGCTTGCGGTTGGGTGCGTAGAAGGGAGTTTCTCTTCCCGGACCTTTCCTCTGGACGGATGGGCCGATCAAGATACTCGGCGTCTGGTTCGGTCCTGATCTCCAGTTGGAAATGAACTGGTCGGAGGTACAAGGGAAGGCCGAGGTCGCGGTTAATCTGTGGTCTCGGAGGAGACTTTCCCTGAAGGAAGGGCGGAAGTATGTGTTTCACATCTATCCGATCCTCCTCTACCGACTCTCTGTGCTTCCACTCCCGTATGCCCGGCTAATGTCATTAGTCCGGACCTTGTTCTCTTTCTTATGGAAGGGCAAGGCCCCATGGTATCTCGCGAGGTCTGTTGCCTCCATCCCTCTGAGGGCGGTCTGGGGATGCCTAGCATTGAGATCCGTCAATATATGCTTCGCATTACCTTTCTAGACCGAATGTGTCGTGGGTCGAATGAAGAGGGTGCCTTTTGGAAAGAAGACGTCCAGAAACATTTTCCGTCCCTGAAAAGTGTGCACTCGTGCGAAGAAGAGGCCAGCCGTACTCCACGTGCCGAGTGCTCTTTTTATCGTGAATGTCGTCGCGCTCTGAAGCTCCTCTTACGGGCTTCGGATGGCCTCCAACGCCCAGGCGTTGTCTCGCAAGGCATTATATCAAGTTTTAGTTAGGGGTCCGTACAAGATGATCTAATTGGCGAGCTCGGTCTTACGAAGCAGGAGGCTCGCTCGATATGGCCTTGTGCGCCCGGGTTGAAATGCCTCAATAACGATGAGGCATCACTCACCTGGCTGGTGATTCGTGAAGCCCTCTGGGTCGGCAAGAGACTTTGTTCAGCAGGCTTGGAGAAATATCCAAACTGCCGTCGTTGTACGGGGGAAGTCGAGACTATTGGTCACGCTTTCTTTCAGTGCAGGGCGGTAGTGCCGCTGTGCAGGTTTGTTGAAGGGCTCATGGTTCGCATGCTGCACGGAAAGTTTTTTGTCCTGGAAGCCAGTTCTGTTTGTAGCAATGTGGTGCCGCAGATGACGAAGGCTGAACACTATGTGTTCTGTTGCTTACTAGGGGTTATGAGAGTCGTGATTTGGACGACGCGTCAGAAGGGATTCCATGAGGGCGAGAAGTTCACTTCTTCCCAACTGATCTTGTTCTTTAAGCATCAGCTTAAAGTCAAGATCAGGACGGAAAGGCGGCGGCTCACCTCATCGGAATTCAGCAAAAGGTGGGTGATTCTTGCGCGAATGTGTCGAGTAAAGGGGCTGACCTTGAGTGGCATTTGGATGCCGGTTAGGCATTAAGGATATTGTTTTCCTGGGTTAAACCTAGGCAACCCATCCCGGAGTTAGGTTAGGTTAGGTTTTTGCATTTTTTCTTTTAGTTTTTCTATTCTGGTAAACTTAGCTAGGGTGTATTTGCTCATTGGTCCCCTTTTATTTCTGTCCCCATTTTCTTTTTTTCCTTTAGTTTAATTCCCCATCCCTCCCTCTTTTTAGGTGGTCAGTGATGTCAGTTCTCTGGTAGATGCGGGGCGCCTTTCGTTTCGTGTGTGTGTTTTTCGTAATTGTTGTTGTGTATGAATGAGTGTGTGCCTGTGTGAATGTTTGGGAAGAATGAGTGTGGCTTTATTTTTTACAAGTCCCGCATCGATTTCGTCCGGTTAACTGATATTTCTGCCACATTCAAGAGTTTGTGGGGGTTTTATTACTAACACTAGTTTTATTTGGTTTCTTGTAAAATATATTTTGTCATTTTTGTATATATTCATTGGGGTTCATTTTTAAAAGTTGTTGTTTTTATGCCCCTCCCCCCACAAACAATATTTTGTACATATGGGGATTATTTAGGTTTTTTTCATGGAGTCAAAGAGGTATTTTGGTGTCTGTAGTAAGAAAGGTATGGATAAATGTGGTGTTTTGGTGAAAGGATTATTGTTCTGTATGATAGGGTCAGTGTTTGTGGCTAGCTAAGTTTTAGTTTAAGACAAGTGATGACCGTCCTTTACCCCAACCCCCCTTTTCGGCCTTGTGCCATATTTGTACCTTAGTACAATAAATAAAAGTAGCAGTTCAATTCTTGGAAAATAAGGCACGGCGCTATATTGACATTTTAATTCTTAATTATCACTCAATCGAGTAATCATACTAATTCCTATTGATATCACTCATGAACATTACATTTTTCTACACTGATAAAAGTAAAACACTGGAACTATTCTTTATTTAGCTAAGACTTCAATTGAACTTTGTAGTTAAATAACATTCAATATTGTACTCAACATTAATTAGCTAAACTTACCCTTTTTATTACGGAAAAAAGGGAAGCAACTTTCTTTATACTTATTGTTGATATTTTTGTATATCATTGTTAATACAATATTTTATTAATGTTCACTGAGCTTGATTATTTTTCTGTCGTGTTTGTTGTGCATTATTCGTGTGGGGTGTTGTTTTACAAGAACACAGCCTTCCTTCTTTATTATATTCACGGTGACCCTAACCAACAATACTTACAGCACCACTACACAACCGTGCGTCTTATATGCCGTCAAATACGGTTATAATTTTTCTGGTTTAAAATATCGGCAAAGTTTAAACTTCGTACCTGCAAAAACAAAACAGTATTTCAAAAGAAGTCCTTTTGGCACACTGTTTTTTTTTTTATTCTCTTCACATTTCTGACTCCTTTGTCTATGTTTATTTACAAGATTAAATTGTGATATTTATTTGTTATTTATCATTTTATAAAGAAATAAATTTGGAAAAATTGTTTTTAAAATTAGAAAATTATCAAAATATATAAACTAACTGTAATGACAAAAAAGCTTTGTTCAACTGAGAATACAAGGTTCATGTATAGTGACTTTTCTCTCAAAGGAGAGTAACAAAACGAGGGGAGACCACTCTTGATTATTCATAACACCAACTACAATACAATATTTATTATTTACCATTTTATAAATAACTATGAACACCATTTTTTTTTTATTTCTAATTTTATAAAAAAAATATCCGTGACAAGAAAACCTGAATAAACTTATGATTTCTGGACATAATACATTTTCTTCTCTGATTACGTTATTACTTCTTGTTTTAATTTTCCAATTTTTTTATTTTTTTTATAATCGTAATCCGGGATCAAGGATGACTAATCAATAAAAATCCAAGACCTAAAACTCCAGCAATTATAGGTTACCCTTATTCTTACTCTTTCGTTGAAAAACATAATTTTGAAAATGTTTTAAATCGGTATTTTTTTTTAGATGCCTAGAAAATCTGCCAACAGATTGAATAAGTAATCTAATAAAAGTATTTGATCCCTTTGTTGTAAATTTTGAAAAAAAGAAGAAAGAAAATAAATCCATTTTCATGTTTAGGTTTTATTAAAATTCTAATCATTGTTTTTAAAACAATAAATATTGCTGAGAGAGTCAAATGTGTATACAGTAATAGTCAAAAGGAATAACCGTCCTCTTGACACACGTTTCTTCTTTTTTTTTTTTTTTTTTTCATTTCTTTTCTTTTGCAGACACAAAGTTTAAACATTGTCAAAATATCGAACAAAATGGGAAATATGCGACTGTAGTCAAGCTACTGAAAAGCCATAACCAAAAATTTTCACGGGCAATTATGTATTCTGTTGTGATTTCATTGGAGACACACACAAAATAACACAGCTGTTGTCGTGCTAGATAACTATTGACTTGAATTAAGCGCTAATTCATTGTTGTTTGCTTTCAATCAATTTTTAT